TTATACTCTTCTTTGAGAGCATAATAGGACTCTCTCCAAGGCCTATAACTGTAATATGGATTTAAAGAAAAATTTTGCCTATTGCATTACTTAGAAAATTTTACCTTTTAATCAAGGCTTTTTTTACTATCAAGCACTAAGAATAGTCGAGCGTTGCTGTCCTACCGACAGCTCTTGTTACGGTTGTTGTTTTCAATTTACCATCAGGGCTCATGCTGGCAGGAGCCAATTAGCAAATTGGCTCCAATATAATTAAATTGGCTCAAGAAAATCACGATTGGCTTACGAAAAGTATGACTTGGAATCTCCAGTCTAAATTTAGCATTTTCTATTTTAAGAATGGAAAAGTACACATTTGGTTTTCCATCTAGAACTTCCGTTTTATCACTCGCGGTATGTTTACATCTTTATGAACTGATAAATATGACACTTATCGGTGTGGGAAATCATCGGTTATATAATCTTTCCTTTTGATATTAATGAATCAAGTTGTCTACTTTTGTTTTCACTTGTGATACTTTACATCATGAACAAAGAATATTTGACAACATTTTTATTTTGAATGAATAATACATGCGTTCAATGATATTAGTTTAGAGATAGAGCATAAAAATATATTAATAAATGAATAAATATTTAGCAAACTCGGAGTCACTCTTTTTGGCTCGGAGATTCACGGAGTCCCGCTGACCTAATTGTCACTCGTTATCGACGCCGAGTCACTCTTTTGTGTACAAGAAATTTATAATCCACTCAGAGTCACGCTTTTTGAGATTACTTGATACTCGGAGAAATTTGCATATTCCTCGTTATCTGTACTGTAATTACACTGAATTGAAGGCAGAAATAAACAACCGGTATCGAGTCATAGAGACGCCAAGGCTTTTCGCCTCTCGGTTTAGTAAGAGGTCTCAGAAGGTTGGCGAAACAGCAGAGGAATATGCTGCAGAACTAAAGGTGCTCTATGACAAAGCCCATGGTTTCAGAGATCGAAAGACAAGAGATGAAGATTTGGTCAGACGTTTCTTAGATGGCTTAAGAGATGACGACATACGGTTCGAGGTCGAGTATAACAAGGAACCTGAAACCATAGACAATGCAGTGATCCAGGTAGTGAACTATATTCACACCCGTGATAGCAGAGATCGGAGGTCAAAAGAAAACATCAGATGGACAGGTGGAACGAGGTCAGAAACAGAAGAGGATGGATCGGTAAGAGAAATAAAAGAGGTATATTGTGATGAAACTAAGCCTCTGTATAAGTGGTCAAGTAGCCCACGGGACCTTGAAGTAACGGAAAATATAACAAATGATGAGAAACAGCAAACAATCTTGAAATCTATACTAGATATATTACAAAAGCTGGAGAGCAATCCACGCAGACAAGGTAGAAGTGAAACAGAATGCTATAATTGTCACGAGCTTGGACATTTTGCGCGTAATTGTCCAGAAAGTGCTGACCGTCAGAATGACAAGGGTGGACACCAACAGAGCGACAAGTCCGAGCACAAGAGAAAACCATCTTTAAACTACAAGGGACCAGCTCTTGTGGCCAAAGGGCGGTCCAGCAGGATGTAAGAGGGGTCGAGGGCCAGAGCATATTGGAAGCAAATGATGTCGGAGAGGCAACCTCTAGGGAGATGGCTACAGAAGACGACAAAGTGCAAAGACCAAAGGGAGTAGAGGATAGGACAAGGGTGAAGCAGTGTAGGGGAATCAGTACTGGTGTGTACATCAAAGGTTCTGTAGAGGATGTACCGGTACAATTCACCGTGGACACAGGGGCTTCGAGAACTGTCATCTCTACGAAGGTCTTCACCAGGGTAGCCGAAAGGAAACAGATAGAACTACGAAGTTCGTCAAGCTTAGTAGGTGCTAGTGGGTTGCCGATCCAAGAATTCGGGACAGGACATTTTGTTGTGCAATTGGGGACACATGCGAGATCCATAGAGGCTATTGTGGCCAACATAGATGATGAGGTGCTACTAGGAATTGATGTCCTTGCTGGAGGTAGCCAATGTGCAGACATTTTGCTGAGTCAAAATAAGATCATCTTGGATGGCATAGAAATCCCTTGCTTTCAAGTGGGACGAAACACTGTAGCTAGAAGGACGAAACTGACCAGCAGCAAACAAATTCCTGGGAAGGCAGAAGCCCTCGCAGATGGGTGCGCTGAAAGAAATGAAATGCCAAATTCTGTATATCTTGCAGTAAGCCAGAATGTTGAAGGCGCAAGTGCAAATGAAGGACACAAATTAAATAAATATACAGTGCAAGATGAGGAATGTTGTTGTTTGAAAGGCCCTGATGAAGATTTGAATGGTACCTTGCAGCAGGTGAAAGGTCGTAGAAATGAAATAAGGGAACAAAACATACAAAAGCATGGAAAAAGTAAAGAATGTGAAGTTGAAATGACCAAAACCATTGAGAGAGATAGTGGAGAAGAAGCACAGAAAGACACAGAACATGCAGAATTAATAGTAGAAGCTCACAAAGATATAAATGTAAATGATGAGAAAATGGACGAACTGAAATTAGATTATAAGTCAAGATGGAAGGAGAAAAGTAATGATAAAAAGCAAATTAAGACAGAGAAGAAAATGTTCAAAGAGATTCAACAGAGACAACAGATACGCAAGATGAAACTAAAGAATAACATGAGACAAACGCGGGAAAGAATATTCGACGATAAAGATGGAATACATGTAAAAGAAGAAATAGACACATTAAAAAAGGAGTTGAACATAGAGAGAAAGTCAAACCCATCTTTGGCAGCAGCACCAATTTGTGTTCATTCTAATACATTGGAACTTGTGTCTAACGATCGGCTACCCTTCAAAACAGCGCTCGCCTTCGGCGGGTCCGCACACTGTCTGACAATGGCAAAGACAATGTGCGGATAAGTCGCTCGCAGATGTTAGCGAGCCCTCTCAATGCTAGTCCAGGATGTAAGGCATTGTGAGGGTAGGACAAGGAATATACGGATGACCATTTTTTTAGCAGTCTACCACGGAGACGTCTCGGATATCGAGAGAACAAACTTTTTTTCTTTTAAACATTTTTTAAATGGTTTGAAATAACTATCGGACATAAGCGTATAGTGTGACTTTACTTATCGCGTTAAATTAGTGAAACATTTAAGGATTTCTGAACATTAAGATTTGTGTTTAATAGAGACTGTGCTAAGTAATGTAAAATTTCGCGTTAACAGTGTAAAGCAATATGAGGTCTTTATGATTAGTGTTTACAAGTCTTGTTTAAGGTTTAAGTCAATTTATAGATATGGCAACAGGAGTTTAGCCATAGAAACAAGGGGGTATTGTAGAGGTCTACAAGTTAATGTTATTAACACTTACCTTGAGTCTAACACGTTGGCATATAGGTACATTTCATTAATTCTTGACAAACATGTTTGGTGATATAACCAGCTATAAAACACAAGATGAGGCATATTTCGCTTTAGAATGACAAAACATACACCTCATACAAGTAGCTTATAAACTAGTTTTGCCTGTACATGCTTGTGGAGATCCTTGTTGATCCTTGATCTCAGTTGATTGTGTATCCGAATTTTCCGGACATGTATATTTAAACTGTTTGTTTATTTCCTTGCGTAAATCCTTTAACATTGTGCCGAAGTGTTATTGCAATAGTGAAATGAACAGTTTATGTTTCCTTAGCACCATGTAACTTGGTTTAAATCCATGTATTTAACTCGAAATGTTAGAAATTGTTGTAAACACATTTAACTAACTTTACATTGACGCCATGTTGTTTGCAAAGCATTGTGGTATTTGTTTATGGTAACTAAGTGCAGTTGAACCTATGTACTGTAGAAAATCGATAATTTAAACCTGCCTAATGTACATGGCAATGTTGTATAGTTTGTACTTTAAACCAGTAGTGTAGACCTTGCCGAGATGGCCATATTTTATTGTTAAGCAGTCTCTGTTAATTCTCTAAGACTGCAACCAATTTTACGGGCGATCAACCATTTCTTTGGGTGCACTTTGGTTGCAAGCAGACTATTTTTGGGGTGCATTAACCTGCAACCATTTTCTGGGGTGATCAGTCAGTTTTTGGGGTGCATTTAGGTTGCGGTTGCAGATTTAGTATAAATAGGCTGGGATTGCCGCATTTCGGGGAGTCATAAGTCAGAATTTCTAACGTAAAGCTACGCTCGTTTAAATTCTCGTTAGCCTTAATAAAATTAAGTTTTCACTAAATATAAGCGGGCTATTTTATCTAAATAGACATTTTTATTCACTTCAGAGTTTTGATAAGCTGTTTCATTTGTAAACAAATATTTATACATATTTTATAATTGTCAGTGATAAACATTTCTGCTATTTTTGTCACGGTTCACTGGTGCGCCATTTTGTTCTCGCGCGTATTTTTAACTGTTATCAAAATTAGAAAGTTGACAATTAGGAAAGCATTGCGAATTATTTAAGTTTTAAGGCAACAATTATTAAGAAGTGTTAACACAAGTTTTAAGTGATATTTCTGATGCAAAGCAACTAGTTATATTAATAATAAGTTCATTTGGTAATATATAATAATCAAAGAGTGAATTTCTCTTGTGTGAATAGCAAGATTACATTATAAATTGAGTTTCTCTTGTGTGAATTGTACGATTACATTATCAATCTGTGAAGAACATTAGGAATTGATATCAATGTGTTAGAAATACTTCATGTTTAACTGTTTATACCCAGTGCTTTATTAAAAGTTATAAACTTAACTACGACTTTCTCCTTTGTGATGTGTTACTATCTAGAATAGGTATAGTTTTCATTACCAAGTAAATAAACACCAGCGAAGACAGTAATGTCACATGCCTAGATCGTGACAATATTTCATGTGTAAAATTAAATAATTCTCAATATTCCCTTTCACTGCATGATAGATTCCCTTGGAAATGTGTACAGTATCGACTAATCAACTCGTACAAAGGTTACAAAGATAACAATACTACTATGAAAGCGAAATGTGCTCACCTGTTCAATATCATTCCGCCAAGCTGTAAAATCATTTTGTTGTATTGCAGTCGTTGTTGATATATGACTTATCTGAAATAAAAACAATATGTTTCTCATTAAATATGAGCACAAATTACCAAATCAAAAGTAACAAAAGCAACCCCACCCTTACTCCCGTCTCCAGACTACCCCCTTCAAAAACGAACAACCCAATAACAACTTAAACCATTTTGTCAAGGGAAACATTGATAATTTTGAATATGAAAGTATGGCAGATTTGTTGATCAGATAGATTTAAGACCTCTTTTACGTCCGCAGTAATAAGAACGATAGAATGTAAACAAGCAAATTCGTTGAATTTATATCCCCCGCCGAGTACTGGTTATTATTAACACAACAACTGAAGACATAAGGCTTTATTTATATATTAATCATGGCATAAACTGTAATATTCTTTGAACTTGAAGCATTGTTCATTCAAACAAGAAGAATTTTTAAGTTTTCACTATATACATATAAGGAAAATTTATGACCCCCTGGAATGGGGCCAATTTTGACCCCAGGGCTAAAATTTGAACAATTTTGGTAGAGGACCTATAGGTTATATCATATAACAAATATCAAAGCTCTAGGCCTTGTACTTTAAGGCAAGATGTTTTAATTTTGCATTTTTGAAACTCCTTTTCTGGCCCTGTGACCTACTTATGCAACAAACCGGAACCATTTCATCAACTTTGGCAGGGGACCACCCTAGGATAATTCCTGTAAAGTTTGGTTGCTGTGCAGTCATTTGTTTCTGAGGAGATGTTGTTTAAAGAAATTGCTGCAACGCACGACGACGGAAGGTGGGGGTCACAATAGCTCACCTAGATGTATAAACATCTTAATCTCCAGACTTTATTGCCATTTTCAAGGCATCAAGAAAGGGATCTCACAATTTTCAAACATTTTTAAATGTTATTGTAACATATCGTTTTCATTCTTCTTTAATAAAAACTAGAAATGTGTCCATAGGACACGGGTGCCCCCACCGCGCCACTGTTCTGTCAATCTTATGACTCTAGGTCAAATATTTTTTGAAAACTAAAAATTTTTTTACTAAGTAAAGGGTAAGAACTTTACAAATTCTAAATAAATCCCCAAGCAAACCCCAAGTTGAAAATTGCAAATTTATACTACTGTAATTCAAGGGCAATAACTCTAACAAAACTGAAAAAAATCCACATGCAAAGTCCCAGGTTCATAGCTTCACAGTAAGGTGAATCATTATTCCTGTAATTTAGTGATGTTGATCATTATTCCTGTAAAGTTGGTCGATTCTAACTCAAGCACTCAAGGATCAAATAACAACATAATGAAACAGTTTTTACTAAGTCAAGGGAAATAACTCTACAAATTCTGGATAAATCCACAAGCGAAATCCCAGGAACAAACTAAATATGCTGAGCAACTTTCCAATAAGGTTTAATGACTCTATGTCAAATCCTTTTTGAGTTACATGCGACACATGTTGAAAATTGCAAACATTTTCTAAGTCAAGGGCAATAACTCTAAAAATACTAAATAAATCCAGACTAAAATACCCAGGTGCACAACTACACATGCTGATCAACATTCCTGTAAAGTATCATGACTCTAGGTCAAATACTTTTTGAGTTACATGCGACACAAGTTGAAAATTGCAAAATTTTACTAAGTCAAGGGCAATAACTCTAAAAATACTAAAAATATCCAGACAAAATACCCAGTTGCACAACTACACATACTGATCAACATTCCTGTAAAGTTTCATGACTCTAGGTCAAATACTTTTTGAGTTACATGCGACACAAGTTGAAAATTACAAAATTTTACTAAGTCAAGGGCAATAACTCTGAAAATACTAACAAGAGGGCCGTGATGGCCCTCGATCGCTCACCTGACACAACCGCATCCAAGCAATGTCTTAAACAAGCATCATGACCAAGTTTGATGCGACTGAGTCAAACATGTGATCTCTAGTGTGTCATAAAGATTTTTCCATATTTGGGCAATGTGACCTAATTTTTGACCGGACACGACCCATATTCAAACTTGACCTAGAAATCATCAAAACAACCTTCCTGACCAATTTCCAGGAAATTTGGATCAAAACTGCAGCCACTAGAGTGTTAAAAAGATTTTTCTCTTTTTAGCTCCTGTGACCTAGATTTTGACCGGACATGACCAATCTTAGCACTTGACCCAGGAAAGATCAAAAACAACATTCTTGACAAATTTCCAGAATATTTGAAACAAAACTGCAGCCCCTAATGTGTTAACAAGCTTTTCTATTTTTAGCTCCTGTGACCTAGTTTTTGACCGGAGATGACCCATGTTCCAACTTGACTTAGATATCATCAAAACAACCTTCTTGACAAATTTCCAGAATGTTTAGATGAAAACTGCAGCCATTAGAGTGTTAACAAGCGTTATCTATTTTTAGCTCCTGTGACATAGTTTTTGACCGGAGATAACCCATCTTCGAACTTGACCTTAAAATAATCAAAACAACCTTCCTGACAAATTTCCAAAATATTTGGATGAAAACTGCAGCCCCTAGAGTGTTAACAAGCTTTTTTCTATTTTTAGCACCTGTGACCTAGTTTTTGACCGGACATGACCCATCTTCGAATTTGATTTAGATATCATCAAAACAACATTCTTGACAATTTTCCAGAATATTTAGATGAAAACTGCAGCCAACGGAGTGTTATCACTCTTTTTCTATTTTTAGCTCCTGTGGCCTAGTTTTTTACCGGACATAACCCATCTTCCAACATGACCTAGATATCATCAAAACAACCTTCCTGACAAATTTCCAGAATATTTGGATGAAAATTGCAGCCCCTAGAGTGTTAACAAGCTTTTTATATTTTTAGCTCCTGTGACCTAGTTTTAGACCGGAGATGACCCATCTTCGAACTTGACCTAGATATCATCAAAGCAACCTTCCTGACAAATTTCCATAATATTTTAATAAAAACTGCAGCCACTAGAGTGTTAACAAGCTTTTTCTATTTTTAGCTTCTGTGACCTAGTTTTTGACCGGACATGATCCATCTTCAAACTTGATTTAGATATCATCTAAACAACCTTCCTGACAAATTTCCAGAATATTTAGATGAAAACTGCAGCCTATAGAGTGTTAACAAGCTTTTTCTATGTTTAGCTTCTGTGACCTAGTTTTTGACCGGAGATGATCCATCTTCGAACTTGACCTAGATTTCATCAAAACAACCTTCCTGACAAATTTCCAGAATATTTGGCTGAAAACTGCAGCCACTAGAGTGTTAACAAGCTTTTTCTATTTTTAGCTCCTGTGACCTATTTTTTGACCGGAGATGACCCATCTTCCAAATTGATTTAGATATCATCAAAACAACCTTCTTGACAAATTTCCAGAATATTTAGATGAAAACTGCAGCCATTAGAGTGTTAAAAAGCTTTTTCTATTTTTAGCTCCTGTAACCTAGTTTTTGACTTGAGATGACCCATATTCGAACTTGACCTAGAAATCATCAAAACAACCTTTCTGACAAATTTCTAGAATGTTTGGATGAAAACTGCAACCATTAGTGTGTTAACAAGCTTTTTCTATTTTTAGCTCCTGTGACCTTGTTTTTGACCAGACATGACCCATCTTCGAACTTGACATAGAAATCATTAAGACAACCTTCCTGACAAATTTCCAGAATAATTTAGTCAAAACTGCAGCCACTAGAGTGTTAACAAGCGTTATCTATTTTTAGCTCCTGTGAAATAGTTTTTGACCGGAGATAACCCATCTTCGAACTTGACCTAAAAATAATCAAAACAACCTTCCTGACAAATTTCCAAAATATTTGGATGAAAACTGCAGCCCCTAGAGTGTTAACAAGCTTTTTTCTATTTTTAGCACCTGTGACCTAGTTTTTGACCGGACATGACCCATCTTCGAACTTGATTTAGATATCATCAAAACAACATTCTTGACAATTTTCCAGAATATTTAGATGAAACTTGCAGCCACCAGAGTGTTATCACTTTTTTTCTATTTTTAGCCCCTGAGGCCTAGTTTTTTACCGGACATAACCCATCTTCCAACATGACCTAGATATCATCAAAACAACCTTCCTGACAAATTTCCAGAATATTTGAATGAAAATTGCAGCCCCTAGAGTGTTAACAAGCTTTTTCTATTTTTAGCTCCTGTGACCTAGTTTAAGACCGGAGATGACCCATCTTCGAACTTGACCTAGATATCATCAAAGCAACCTTCCTGACAAATTTCCATAATATTTGAATGAAAACTGCAGCCACTAGAGTGTTAACAAGCTTTTTCTATTTTTAGCTCCTGTGACCTAGTTTTTGACCGGACATGATCCATCTTCAAATTTGACCTAGATATCATCTAAACAACCTTCCTGACAAATTTCCAGAATATTTGGATGAAAACTGCAGCCTATAGAGTGTTAACAAATTTTTTCTATGTTTAGCTCCTGTGACCTAGTTTTTGACCGGAGACGACTCATCTTCGAACTTGACCTAGATATCATCAAAACAACCTTCCTGACAAATTTCCAGAATATTTGGCTGAAAACTGCAGCCACTAGAGTGTTAACAAGCTTTTTCTATTTTTAGCTCCTGTGACCTAGTTTTTGACCGGAGATGACCCATCTTCCAACTTGACTTAGATATCATCAAAACAACCTTCTTGACAAATTTCCAGAATATTTAGATGAAAACTGCAGCCATTAGAATGTTAACAACCTTTTTCTATTTTTAGCTCCTGTGACCTAGTTTTTGACCTGAGATGACCCATCTTCGAACTTGACCTAGAAATCATCAAAACAACCTATCTGACAAATTTCCAGAATGTTTGGATGAAAACTGCAACCATTAGTGTGTTAACAAGCTTTTTCTATTTTTAGCTCTTGTGACCTAGTTTTTGACCAGACATGACCCATCTTCGAACTTGACATAGAAATCATTAAGACAACCTTCCTGACAAATTTCCAGAATATTTTTTAGTCAAAACTGCAGCCACTAGAGTGTTAACAAGCGTTATCTATTTTTAGCTCCTGTGACAT